CAATCTAAACCCAAAGATTCCATCCTTGGCCACCAAGTTGCATCTAGGGTTCATTTGCATTTGCATTTGCCTACTCCAAATGCAACCCTAGATGCCTCCCCTCCTATAAATACCCAATGCACCACACCTTGTAAACACTTTGGATTATATAGATTTTGAGTGAGCATTTTATGCCTCAACATCTCTTCCTTAAATATTAAATATTGTAGAAAAGGTAAATTCTTTTCTAAAAGTATGGATAACGTATAAATTTTAATTATTCATGTTACCATTCATTTCAATAGAATGAAAACTTTCAAAACTAAAGTTAATAATTTCTTTTGTGGTCAAATGTACTTGAAGAGATTGAGTAATTTAGTTATTTGATCAATAGAAAGATATTTAGTTTTTAAATTTGATTATACAAATTTAAAGGTGAGTGTTTGGATTAGTTGTTAATAATAAATTATTTTAATATTTGATTGTTGTTATAATTATATGAAATAAGTTTCATGTTTGGACATAACATTGAATTGGAATATACCAGCAGTGTAAAGGATTTTTTTGTTTATTTTAATATTTTTTTCTTATTATGAATATTATATAATAGGAAATTATTAAAATTATGATCCTTGATTCAAATGGTAAAAAGAAATACGGCATGTCTTTGATTTAAATGGTAAAAAGATATGCAGGATTATCAAATTTTGTACACGTTAAATTTTAAAAATTACTCTTTTAAATAAAGAAAAAGGATCAAATTACTTAAAAATTAATTATTGATATAATTATTTTACTTAATAACCCATGCTCATGTTATTCGACCATAAATTAAATGTTCTTAATGTATAGATCAAAATTATAATTTTTAAAAAACTTTAAAAATCATATAATATTTCTTTATAAAAATTCAATTCAACATATAAAATATTTTTATAATTATTTATTAATTTAAATTAATGAAACGAAATATCAAATAATTTTTATTTTTTTAAAAAAAAGTTTATAAACTTGATCTATGCATTAAATTTTATAATTTAATTTAGAATTTTACTAATTTTTTATAAATTAATTTTTAATTTAATTATGTCAATTTGCTCATAAATATATCATATACATTTATTTATAAATATATAGCGTTTATGACAACAAGCTCATCAAGTTAGTGCTCTTAATAGAGCCAATATATAATAGATGGAAATTAGAAATAAATTCGTAAGATGATTGTTTTTAATTAAACATAAAATAGAATAGAAAATAATTACATAAATTGTCCCAATTACTTGGTCTTTTGATGAATTATTGATTGATATCCTAATGAAATGAGATTAGATCCATGAAGTAACTAATAGTAGGATAGATGGATGCCCATTGCCCATGTAAGCCCGAAGATGAAACCTGTACAACACAGATAAAAGGGAAGGTTCAATAATCTCATCTTGAACAAAAGACATATCAATGTAACTATGTTTTTACAAACTTTAAGTTCCTTTTTTTACAAAATTACATACTTGAAGTTGAAACTAATATCGTAACAAGGAAATGTAAAAGAAATGTAGAAAGTAGCCAGTTGCATCCATTTGGCATTTATAGAGATTCTAACATACCTTCCATGGTACTGTTACAGTCTGGCGGGAATACATACGATAAATAAAATTCACCAACCCTTCCTGAAAGTAAAATCATGGTTATAGAGAGTAAAAGGTAATGAATTGGAACCAACAAAAACAACTGAATACAAAGGTACAATTATTGGTGAATTACATTAATGATAGAGTGGGGAAAGGAATTAGGTGGTGTGTGATAGATCATTGTTGTTTAGAGTTAGATTAATCTCAATTCTCAACCTTATAATTTTATTTGCTACCCAAAATGATTCTTCTTCTCCGTAAATGAAATTGGATCTGCTAGTGTTGGATGCGTTAAAGTTACTGTTGTCAAAGAAAAAAAATTGGATACCAAAAGTCCACTAGGAATGAGATTTTAACCCAATGATGAACAACAACACTCCATAATACACGTCCTAATTCCCTTCTCCACCATATCCTGTCATCTTTGGATAACTAAAGAAAATAATAGGAAAAACATAATAGAAAATATTATTTTTTAGATCTATAAAACAGGGTTCTTTTATTTTTAATCTTTTACAATAATATTTTATATATCTTTTTCAGTATTTTATTTTATTTTATTTTCATTTTTGTTGTCAGATTTATTGTCAAATCTAACAGAAAAAAAGAAAAAAAACAATAGGATCAAAATATTAAAAAAAGAAGAAGAAGAAAATTATGATATCTAAAATGAAAAAGGACTGAAACAACAATTAAAATTTGAAAAGACAAAAATAAAAATAACCAAAATTAAGAGGATATAAATGAAAATAATTAGAATTTAGAATATTAAGATTAAAATAATTTTATTCTAAAAGAATTAAACTTCAATTAATCTAAATTTATAAAATTTAAATCTTAATTTGCACTTATACAAAATAAAATTATTAATTTTTAGGTCAAAAAATTAAACATTAAATATAAAATTTTATAAAAGTCTACTAAGTTATAATCTCTTTTAAATGAAAGGGATATAACAAATGATGAGTTTATTTTATACATGCTCATGTGCTAAGGTTTATTTGGTTATCTCTATCTTCTTATTATTTTAGTTTTTATTTATTTATTTATTTATTATACATCTTTTTTACATTGTGAGAGTGATTTGTCATAGAATGACTTTTATGAAGATGCGAGTTTATTTTTTATAATTATTTTTTGTTAATTACTAATACATTTGTTATATTTTTTTAATATGTATTAATATATTTATCAATTTTTACATATTAAATATGAACCATGTGAGATTGTTTTTAGGAGTCTTTTTTTAACAAGAGAGGTTTTATGAATTTTTTTAACTTCTTAACTAATTTAATTTTTATTTATTATAATTATTTATAAATTAAATATTAATATTTTAAAATAAATTATTAATAAATATAAATAACTTTTTTGTTACAATACAAATTATTATTCATAAATTCAAAATATAACTTATATGTTTAAAAGTATTTATGTACATTAATTATAAATATAGTTTATATATATTCAAACACAATATTTATTTATATATAATTTATTATAAAATTCAATTATATAATAAGCATGTCTATACATTGTACAAGTTAAAATACATTTATATTTAAAAATTAAATTTTATAAATTAAATTCAATACATATTTAGTCTATATAAAATAAAATTGTTATAGTTTTAATTTTTTTATTTTAGTTCATTCGAATTTGTATTATTTTGTTTCGGTGCTTTTAATTTTTTAGTTTGATTATGTAAAAAGTAAAATAAAAAAAACATAACGATATAAATACCTTGATTAAATTTGAAATTAGATCATTAACCATTTAAGAAAATATTTTATTTAAATAAACTGCTTGGCAATTTTGGACGTAACTTACTCAACAATCCTGTCAAATTGATTCATTGGAGTATCATGTTCCCAAAAGTCTAAAGCAGAGCACATTCCAGCCGTGTTGCAGGCTGTCCAGATGTATCGGATTGTGTCTGCATGCAATATTTAAACATAAACCATACACATAATTTTTCGTAGTCAAGTTAAAGAGAAAAGGCTCATGAATTTACCACAACACGTTATTGTGTTTGAGGAGCTGACCACTCTCACTTGAGGAATGTGAGCTATGTACTGCCAATCTTGTCCTGTTTCC